TCACGTGATTCATGTCAACTGATCCTGACGTCACATTCCAACATGGCGGACTGGAACAGAGGTACTGTTTTCTGACACGTATTCAGCTAAAATGTCGATTAATTTATTGTCTCCAGCAATTTAGAGTTAATCCTCCAAACTTATGACGGTCAATAGTAACTGAAATTAGATCCTAACTCTTTGTGACGGCTTATTTTTATCTATTTCTTCACAAATCTGAAATAAAAACCTTTAGCGTAGCTACAAGGCTAACAAGCTAAATCCTTGTGTACTTAAGGATTTGTTTTTCTGAAAGTCGAACGATTTAAACTACTAAAAATTAAATCTGTATTTCAAGTATCTACAAACTGGTTTTAACTAATTACTGAATCTTCCATTTAAATAGTTGTTGTTAGCTAACTGTAGTGATGTAAAACTTTGAGAAGAGGACATAATCTTAGGGGGTAACGTTGGGCATATTTGAAAAGTTAAACAAATTCCGTCGACCAGGGTTTTTCTTAAGGTTTTTCCTTGGTCTCTTTATGAATGACATTAGTTAAATGTCGGAGATGTCCCAAAAAAGCTGTGAGAAACCCACCACAGCTTTCTGGTAACTAGTAAACAAACAACAAACATTTCCTTCTAAATCATATAACAACACTTTGTATTTATGTATTTAAAATGTATTTACATTTTAAATGATATGAGTTGATAATTCAGAGTAAAGATAAGCAGAATTCACTAATACGCATACATACCATAACTAATAAAAAGATAAATATGCAGAAATTGAATTGACAAATAAGGGTTTTTGGTGTTTTTTCTTTCTCTTTTTTCAGATAACATTTAATGAAGAACTCACTGTACTAGTAAATTACAACCCTAAATTGTGAGGTGGAGGTTCATTATTATGATATTTAATCACCTGTTACTGGATACATAAAGACTTCTGGTGTTTTTAGCGTCTGTCTTCATGTTAAACAGCAAAATGCAAGTTTGAATTGCAGCCATGCAAAAAAAAAAATGAAGGGCGGAAACTATTTGCACATTTTTATATACTGTAGTTTGGATTTTCTGACTTTCATTTAGCTCCACAAACATGAACAACACTACTTCTCTGGTGTGAAGATCTTGTTTTGCTTTTCCATGACACAGTAGATCATTGTAAAAGTCTAGATAAAAATAAATCAAATCAGAAGAAAAGACAGATGCAGTATGGATGTTTTTCATGGGTCAAAAATGAAAAATTAAATTAGTTTTACAATTGTAAAGCAAAAGGAAATCTATTACTTTGGTTGTAATCTTGTGATCAAAGTCAGGTGGGATCTTTGAGAGGTTTTTAGGACTCATGAAATGGGCTTATAGTGTAATATTAGCATAAATACAGCTTAACTGTGAGTTTTCTGTACGTTTCCTCTGATCTTCTGTGTGTGTGGGTTTTCAGGTCATGGATCTGTGGACGACATGCTGGATGCTGAAAACAAACGGCTGGCGGAGAACCTGGCAACCAAAGTCTCCAGACTCAAATCTGTGTGTAAACAACAACAACAGCTCCTGATTTACCTGTTTTGCTAACAAATACACCTGTTTAACTCTACTTTTACCTATTTTGCTAGCAAATATACCGGTTCTCAGACTTTTCTACTCTATCTCATCCTGTTAAATGTTGATTAGTAAAGGGTGGGACTAAACAAATATAGCTAGTTATGCCCAAATAAATATTTGGCTAACATTTTGACATGCTGTCAAGAGGGATTATTTCTTAAGGAAATACTTTTATAGCTTTCAGGATGTAGAGAGAAATCCAACTCTTCTGTTTAGTTTAGTTTAGTTTTATTAGGATCCCCATTAGCTGCCAAATAAATGGCCACTAGTCTTCCTGGGGTCCTCACATGAAGAAATTATATTACATTATAAACAGATCATAAAAAATAAAAATCACAGTAGGAAATAATAAAAACATAAACAAGAGTGGACTATACATCATATACACACAGGTCAGTTCATGTTATCATCTGCAGTAGTTCTGAAGACACAATATTTTTGAAGCTTGTTCTGTTCTGAACTGTTCGTGTGGTTATTGGAAGTTGGTTCCAGTGAAATATGGCTCTATAATGGACTGTGGATTTTAGAGAGTTTGTTCTGTTAAAGATGTTAAAGAAAATCTTAATCTGTATCTTAAAGTGACAACAGGTCCAAATCATCTGGACTTTCTCCTGCTGGATGTTTATATAAAGTTTAATCAGATGTCACAAATGTGCTTTTTCTGAAAGAAAATAGTGGAAAACTTTCAGAAAATGGGTTAAATGAAGTCTGTCTCCTGTTTCTGACAGCTGGCTTATGACATCGATAAGGAGGCGGACGATCAGAACGAGTACCTGGACAGCATGGTGAGCCCTTTGTTATCACATTAAACCCATAAAAACCTGTTTCTGATTAATCATGATTCATTAATTATGATTAATTTCTGAATAATTCCATCTGACTGTTCAAATCAGAACATTGTTCCCTTTGTTTTTGCACCTAATGCTTAAAAAACATAAACTTTATGATGCATATTTGTAGTTTTTTTGTGAAAAAATCATTACAAAATGTCCACCAGATAATGATAATAATCAGCAAAACATTTTTTATGAGAAGCCTAATGTGTAAAAAGGCCAATGTGAGTCTTCATTTGGAGAGGATGGCTACGAGGGATGTCCCCATCCAGCTTTCTGATCCGATCCCGGCCTATCAGAGCATGTGTTAAAGTCTAAAGTTATTTATCTACTTACTTAGTTGTCAGACTCATGTTGAACAGGGATTTA